TGCCATCAGTCCCGACTCAGGCAGCAAGTTCGGCCTCTACTGGCTCAGCGGTATCTAGATGCTTCCCCCATCTACCAGAGGCATTAGAGACTATTGTTGGGCGGGAAATGTCCTTACAAATTTGGCTCAGAGGTCTCCTTGAGACATGAGGTTCTTTTACGTGCCGTAAAGCTATGACACGGGACCCACGGCTTAAAGTCCCTCCTGGAGGACTTGTTCCCTGAATTTTTCCGCCCTTAAAAATTCCACGACCTCCGCCGGGTTTGAACCCGCGTACCTTGAGTCATGAGTGGGAACGTTACCCCTGGACTACGGAGGCCGCTTTAATTGCAGATAGTTCTGTTATGAAGTATTTTGTTACCAATTCTGACATTACCTAAAACTATGGACTTCCCTGTTTTTGTTAAACTTAATGTCATTCAAAATACTTTTACTGTAGTAAGTACTAATTTTAGGGCTGCACCATAGCTCAAGCAGTTGGTCGCTGACTTCCCACTGTGGCAGCTCGAGTTCGATTCTGGGTCTGGTCAAGTGGGATTTGTGGTGGACAAAGTGGTGCTGGGGCAGGTTTTCTCCAAGCACTTTGGTTTCCTCTGCCAATCTTCATTCCACCAATTGCTCCTCAGTCGCACTCACCTATCATATGTGGCTGGTACATTAGGCCAGAAGTGGCCTCAGCACAAGGGACTTAGTCCCACCCCACTAGCATTAAAGAAAACGTACTAATTTTAGAATAGTGCTTCTCGGTCTTTCTATCCGTAGAGCCCATTGGGCATACAGTATGGTGTTCAGACAGGCACAGGCGGTGTGTATTGAGGAGCCTGATGAGGTTGAAAGTAAGCTGCCTGTCTGATGGGCAGAGCGAGGGTGTCAGGTAGTTTATGTCTGTGACATATCTGAGGATCTTTGATACTGACCATGTTGCTGAAGAAGTACAGGCCTATGACTCCTACAGCACATCATACATTGACTTTTGTTCAATGACATTCATGTTTATGAATAATGCAGGGGGTTTTAGCACACCAAAACATACAGTCCTGTTTATTCAAGTAATCAGGAATATGGACAGTTGTCTGAGTACTTTGTCTAGCAGTATTAAGGCCTGAATAATTTGTTCAGGTGAGATTTGAAGTTCTCGGGATTAGTATGAAGATTACGGTATTCTGGGCTATACAGGAGATGGACAAAAATATGGAAACACCCAACAAAAAACACATTACCATGACTAATATGGTGTAGGACAACCTCTGGCTTGCAGAACTGCTTGCAGTCTCCTTGGAATGGATGAATAGAGGTCCTGTATGATTTGCAAGGGAATCTTGTGCCATTCTTCCTGAAAAACATGGTAAGTTCTGTTATCGATGATGGAGGTGGCTAGCGCGCACGCAGATTGCTCCCCCAAACAGACCATAAAGGCTCAGTAATATTGATGTCTGGCGATTGTGGGGGCAATGGCAGATGTGACACTTCATCTTTGTTCTCAGAAAACCAGTCCTGGATGATGTGAGCTATGTGAACACAGGCATTGTTGGCTTGCTAAATGGCATCACAATTAGGGAACAAAGTTTGCACCCTGGGATGGACCTGGTCACCCAAAATGGTCACATAGTCGTTGGCAGTGACATGACCTTGCAGGGTAATGATGGGGTCCGACAGAATACCACGATACGGCTGCCCATACCATGATCGAACCCCCGCCATATTTCACTCTTGGCAGCAAACAATCTGGATCGTAAGCTTGGGATGGCATTCTCCAGTCGTAAACTCGGCCAGAAGTCGGAAACAGTGTGAAGGTGGACTCAACCAACCAAGTGACCGTCTTCCATTGCTCCATAGTCCAGGTTTTATGACTTCAGCACCACACTGTCCTCTTAGTGGCATTTTGATCACTAATGAGTGGCTTTGGAATTGCAGCTTGTCCAGAAATACCCTACTTGTGGAGTTCCCTTCGTACTGTTTTGGTGCTGACAGGGTTTGTGAGCGTGACATTCAGTTCAGCAGTCACTTTTGCAGCTGTAGTCTTTCTATTTTTCGTCACAATCCTACACAACCTTTGTCCGTCTCGATCACTCAACACATTTTTCCGTCCACGCTGGTGTTTATCGGATGCAGTTTTTTCAGTCCTCCTGTATGCAGTCATAATCTTGGGTAATGTATCTCACAAAACACCAAAAACTTCGGCTACCTTGGTTACGGAAGCACCCACCATATGGGCCCCAACAATTTGCCCGCGTTCAAATTCTGTTAGCTCTGATGTGATGCACAAAATATTGCACAGAACACTGTCTCGACAACAAATGAAGCTTGCAACATATTGCGGGGGTTGTACAGGTAGTGGTGTTGGGCAGATACGACGGCATGACCTACAAACGTTGCTAAAATAAACACTTCAATTCAGGCATGCATTTCACGAGGTGTGTCCATATTTTTGTCCATCCCCTGTAGTTTAGTAGATAGTTATCAGTGTTTCAGAGTAATCTGCCGTCTCCATTTTCAGTGCTGAAGAACTCTGTTCCCCTGAGGATGAAGGTAACAGATCTGAATCATTGTTATTTGTCTACCAGACTGCTTGTACACAGTACTACATCCCAGAAGACCCATTATCTTCTGTTTGTATATGGTACAGTCAAGTGCCCAGGTCCCTGATGATTCACCAGGCAGTAGTCTGCAAATGGTGACTTTCATTATTGGACAATCTTGTGGGCTTACCAGGGCTTTGAACAAATGCCTCCTGTGTTACAGTAATATTGTTTGGAGACCTACCTATTCTTAGGCATCCACTGCTTTCTTTGTAATTGTCTGTCATGGAACCACTTATGGCAGAATGGCAGTAAATTTGATAAATAGTCTAAAAGGTGGATCATAATTGAAATATCTATGAAATCTGTTTTATATGACTGTAACCTTCCTCCTTTCCTCCAGACCTAGTTTTATTGCCATTTCAAATGTGTATTCATGTTTCAGATCCATACAAGGGTTAAAACATTTTGAATCACAGAGAACTCCATGTGTGTTAACATATTTTTTTAGAATCACTTTAAATTTGATATAATTCTCATATTGTTTTATAATTAATTTATGATATTGCCAGACAACTTCTGTTTTACAAAAATAAATTGTCACAGACATGAGTAATAGTTTTATAATTAATTACTTCAAATTCTTTTCAATCATCTAACATCCATATTTTGTCAACATTAACTATTACATTTAAACAAAAAGTAATCATTTACTCTTTACTTTAACTATGTATATGTAATCAGAGCCTGAAGATGACCGTGTAGGTCGAAGCATGTTGCTTGTTTATTTATTATTATTTTAACAAACTAATTCTTCTCGTCTTTTAATAATAAACTATTTCTGTTATGTGTAAACTTAAAAAAAAAGACATCTTGTAATATTATAACCTACAATGTTCATAAGTTTTATACTTTTACACTGAACAACATATTTATATGCTGTGGTATCTGAGATAGATCAGTAAATACTGTACTCTAAATGTTTTTAGCTGAATTTGAAATTGAGTCTTGTCACTGTCAGCCTTCCATTTGCGAAATATTATAAAACGTTATATCCTCAAACATGATGGCATTTTAACAGATTTATGTGTATTTACTCTAAGACAATTACAGTTAAATATAAGGATGGTAACTTGTATTGGCTTTGTGACTGTTTCTTTATAGTGACAGGGATTTTTCTGTTTGTCACCATGTCCAGGCTGAATTGGTGACCTGCTCATCTGCTTATCAGTGATACAAGAGGTTTTTTCCTGGATAAAGTGGCCAAAGTATGAAGCTGTCCACTTTCCTCTACCTTCTGCCAAATTTTTTAATGTGTGTAATACATAGCAGTGTTTCTTTTTCTGAGAAAGTAAACAGAATCTTTGTAGTAGTTGTTTAAAATTCAGCGAGAAACTCCTGTACATTATGCAGAACAGACGAGGACAGTTTTCTGATTACAATCAGCAGCCGTCCTTATGTGAGAAATGCAGGAGTCCACTGTGTCGGTCTGTATTTTCATTGTGACTGTGTTAGATCGACAGTTCTGAAAATGTTTATTCTTGGTATGCCCTGAAACAGTTTAATGTTTGGAGTTTATAGAAAATAAGTCCGGAAATGCACAGCTTAACTGTGTTTCTGCTCTTTAACACTTAACATGCTATGAGATGATTAGATTAGCTTGATGTACTTGAAATAAAACTAACAGAGCTGAAGATATCTGCTCAATATTAATCATATAGCAGAATATTTCTGTCAGTAGGTGGCATCAGGTGTTATGTGCCAATATGTATAGCGTAGAACAGGCTTTCTTGTTATCTGCATTGGTAATTTGAGGTTAATCTGCAGAAATATTCTGGGTTTCAGTGTGCAGTAGCATTTATCCCCAGGCAGCCTCTAGCAGGGCCTTGACTGTCAGAGGGTTAAATGAACAAACATCACATTTATATGTGTTATGTATACAAAATTATTCTGAATTGATTCAAAATAAGAATTATACTCACAGATAAGAATTTTCAAGGATGACCCTGCTTAAAGGAAAAGTATCTAATGTCAGGATGAATTTGGACATCAGGCATAGATCTTCCATTTGAAGTCTGTTCCTGTTTGATTAGCCATTCATTATGGGTTTAGTTAATGATGCCTTTCAGGTGCATACTTATGTGGCACTGAATTGAAGAATGATTTGTGATTGATGCAATGGAAAGTATGTGAAAGAAAACTGACTTATTTTAACATACCTGTGTACTATCCCTGATATGCCCAGAGAAACTGAGGAGAACCACAGAAATTATATCAGACAGGGTAGCCGGTCTTTGGTCGAGGATTCAAACCCAGGATCTGCCTAACGCAACGCAAGTGTTCTAACCTATGTCCAGTGTAATTTTATTCTGTCAGAATAAGAGATCATGTTCCAAAGCCATATGAAACATTACATTCTCACTGTACAATGTATGTAACTTAAAATGAATCTCTTAATATAAGTACCCTCGTGAAGTGTCACCTTTTCCATTTTGATTTCAGACAAATGTTGTTGGAAATTCTCCATTCAGAGAAAGGCTGGGCAGCAACCGCATTGTCGACAAGCCACGTCCGAGGTTTGTTGCAGATGTCTGTGTGTGTACTTGATTTTATATCTATTTCAGTTTTCTTCAAGCACAGAATTCAAATATTTATTGATTTAAGTTTGTTCCTCCAGCAGCATGGTGAAGGCATTACTTGGGTTGTGTTGTGAGTAACATTTTTGGGTAGGTGAAGATAAATTCTCTTTCAGCTTGGGGCAGCTTTTCTTATGAAAATGGTGAAGGCTTAATGTTGGCTGATCTTCCATAGACTTTAGAGATCAATTAGTAAGAAATTTCTTTATTTTTTAATAATGATGGTTTTACTCTCATATGCCATGAAGTTATGCTATGAAAACAGGAATATGTTCTCTTTTAATGAACAATTGAAATTCCTTTTCACTGAAAACTCAGTGTTTGAAAACCTATGATCATTGTGTAACTGATTATGTAATACGTGGTTCTCATTAAACAGTTGTTAGTTATCCTACCATGAAACCTATGGTTTCATTACAAAATCTGATCCAGCCCCAGACCATTTTGACCATGTTGACATGCCCAAAATGGTTTGTACCCATGAGGGCTTAGAACTAAATTTTGTATGCATTTCTTGTTCTTCCATGTAGAGTGAATATTCTGCACATCCTTGATTTAATCACCCTGACAGTATTAGGTGAATATTACAAACTATAATGCTCCATTCTGTATATTTTCTTTATTTCTCTTCTTACTTCATCTCATTTAGATTAAAATATTCCTTCCACAATCTGTCCTCTGATTGCTTCAGTCTCTGTTCTTTTTCCAGAGGAGTTTCACATTCATATGAAGCAGCAACTAAAATTATAGTTTAATGTATTTTATTCTTTAGTTTTTTTGGAAGGAAATTTGTCATTGTGTAGGATGTATTCTTATTCATCAGAAATACCCATTAAATTACCCCATATTATATACCAGTAAGAATAATACTAGGGTGTGGACATTAACAGGTTGTTGCCTTATCAAAAAAGTGCACACACTATAGTTGCAGTCTTGTTTTAAACTCTGTCACCCACAAATCATAAAGATTGACATGTAGGCTGTGTGAATTATGTTCAGTATTTCACTGAACCACCGTTTCCCCCCTTTAATCTTATACCATCTATCCTGACACTAACTGATGCCAAATTAAGCTGTAGTTTACTAGAGGCATTGGTTGGATTTGGGAAAGAGTGGTTTTGCCCTCATATAAAGTATTATGATCACATTGAAACATTTCTTTTTGGTTCTTGGAAAAAGGTGGCAATACTCACACAGCAGTCAGGATTCATTAGAAAGAGTGGATGGCATACCCTATACTCTTTATATGTTCCTTGCTAAGAATGTTCAGTATATGGCTCAATATGTGATCTTTAGAATAATGTTTTTAATATATTTTTAATAGGTTATTTTGTAAAAAAAATGGTGCCAGTATAGCTTACCTCTTCATGCTACCAAAAAAAAAGCACTGTTTCTTTCAAACATACAAAAGTTAGTATTGATCACTGGCTTTTCATTTTTCCAGATGTATAGTTTTCTTGTGTAATGTTTATTCCTGTTTTTGTGATATTTATGAATGCATTAATATTGTCATGTGTTTTCACATGCAATGACCTGGGTTCTAGACCCCATGCTTGAATGTTGCAGATTATGTGTACCTCTCTTGAGAACATTCTTATTCTTCTTAGAAGGACCTGGCTAGATTCTATATAAGCAAGAATAGGTTCCACCAGGAATGCAAGCATCTTCCATCTTCAGTTTATTACTTTTTCTTGTAAGATGATTTAACAGATTCAGACCTAGCTGAAAATTTATAAACTCACTTGGAACATGACCATTTTGTGTAAGAGACAGTTTATTATTATTATTATTATTATTATTATTATTATTATTATTATTATTATTATTATTATTATTTATTTATTTATTTATTTATACATTTATTTAACTGAAAATGGGATTTTATGTGGTGACAGTGGTACTACAACAAGGCACAACACACAAATAACACACATCACATAAAATAACACATCATGCTCAAACAAAACACAGCACACAAAACTACATAAACAGTAAAGGACACACTACACCCAATGAATATAACACAAATACAATTTAGACTACAGTTATATAAATTAATATTACTAAAAAATAAGCATACTATACACTAAACAGCAACAGTAATGAGATACGTAATGTCATGAACTGATGCACTCAGATTTCACCATGACCTTCCCTTCATTCCACTTCACTACGCTTACCTACCCTTCACATCTACACCACAATTTACTTCCCTTCACTTCATTGCATTTTTGATGATTTCCCCCACACATTCACTTCGCCTTACTTATCACTTTTCCTAAAATTACTTGGTATACAGGAGAGAGTCCCTAAAACATCTTAAGGTAGTCGGTTCCAGAGCTGGGTGATCTTATTTACAAAGGAACATTTTCAGATATCTGTCTTTTGCTTTCGCCTCCTGATTTTCCTATCATGATTAACCCTGCTCAGATAGCATGATAGCATTTTAATCTATCACCTATAGCCTTCCAAGTTTTATTCTGATCATTTGAAATACTGATGTTCCAGTTTTGTTACATGTTACATAAAATGTTCTCTATCAGTATTTATTATGACATAAACAGCATTAACAAATACTAAATCCTGCATCACATCAGAATTTCTGAAAGTGGGTATCTGATAGGAAGGAAGTTACGTGAGAAGTTTTCATCCATGGTCTGAATGTGTTACTGCTTCTAGGTGTGACTCATTATGTGGTGTTATGATGTGCAGTTTGAATTCCACTGTTATAAAGAACTATTTGTGTTTTGAAGTGGGTGTTGGAATGCACTTAAACTGTATTGCTGCCATTGTGAATAATTATGTACAGATGTAAAATATGTAACTGAATTTTCTGTTCCTTATTTTTATGGCCAATTAATTTTGGTCTGGAATTATATGTATGTCTGTGTTTGATGTTTGATCACCACTGCTAGCCTCTTTTTTCTCACTATATCCTCTTTGTGCTAGGAGAAGCATGGCTCTAATCGCATGGCTGAACGACACGCCATCAGGTCAGTATCATTGTATCCATTATTGTAATAATTTTGCATTCTTATTTTCTGGTATGTAAGATACATTTTCCAATCTCTTGATATGTGCATAGCTAATTGATAAAAAATTTAAGTTGTCTGTATGCCTGATTAATTGATCACCATACACTTAAGATGTATGGTGGAGTTGAGATGTAGTTTCAGCATTCTTGACTTTGGTGCTAGATGGAGGTGAGTGGTCAGCTGCACACCTCGGGCACTTTAACCCTAGGGAAGGAGCCTGCAGTACTTACCCATTGTCAAGAAGGCCGGGTGGGCCCCAGAATAGTGTGGATGCTGTGAGGAGAAGAATCTCTTGCCACTGCCAGAAATTGAATCCTGATTCTTTGGTCACCTGCCTGTAGCCTTTCAGTATACCAACTGAGCTGGCCCGTCTCCTATCTCTGCATAACTAATTGAAGGGAGGGAGAAGAGAATTGAAAGGAATAAGGAAACCCATGGATTTCATCAAACTGAGAAATTTTTGAATAGCTGAATTCTTGTGAACATGTCAATGCAGAACTTGACTTATTAATCTTCCTAGTCACGATGTACCCCCCCCCCCC